ATACTAGTAAAAGAAAATACCACATACACTACTGATGGTGGATTAATAGAATCTCATCTATAAAGAAAAAACCACATTCAGCCTTAGTTCTGTATTAAACATATTTCAAGTCTAAAATATTCACAACAGTAACTAACATTTGACTCTTGCATTTTACAACTACCTAATAAATAACATTGCACACAAAGCTACAGTAAAGGCCCTGATAACTGTTACTCAATCTGTATAACTGTTAGTTCCATATAAACATCCATTTCTCTTTAATATTAACTATCTTTGTATCACAGTTTTGTTTTGTTTTGTTTTTTTGCATATTTACCAATAATTATTTGGTTCAAAGTATTGTGAAAAATTCAGCTGGAAAATTATTCATAAAACTGTATTCTGTATTTTATTTTTCAAACAGCCAGTGTCCACATTTAAAATGTAGAATTTGCAAATATAAGTTAGTCTAATAATTCAACTTAAAATAAAGCAAAACAACTTCCTTTAGTATCACAATACATAAAATGGTATTATAAACTCCAAATGGCAAGGTTAACTATGACAATAGCGCCAAAAGCTGTGAAACTCATTAAACCTCTTAATGAATAGTTCAATTTAAAGAACACCTCTATGTTCCATGACTACACATGAAACAAGCTTTCACTGTATTATAAAGGCTCAGCAATTCATTCATGGCATAATATGGGATTCAAGCAAGATTTTTTTTTTTACAGTAACAATACAAATGTATTTAAACAAAAAGAAAATCCTCCCAATTGTTTAAAAACAATTATATATGGAGGGCAAAATATATTTTAAAATATATTGACTTACTAAATTTCAACTGTCAAGCGACTGACTACTAATGTAAAAGTTTGTATTTAAAAATATCACAAACATCTTATTTAACAGTGAAAATTTCAACGTGTTAAGTTTCATTGCAAAGCGATTTTCACCTGAGTAGATTTTGAAATTTAGTGCTCATACTTTTGGGGGAGAAGGAAAGACCCACTTTATTTCTGACACTGAGTGTGCAGCTGATCCCTTCACACTCAATCTCCTAGGGGGTTGAAGAAACAATCTGCTGTGACCTTCCCAAGACACATGACAATCCCCCAATCTCCCCGCACTTTCCCTCATAAATTTGTCCTAGCATTTTAAGATAAATTTTCAGTATCCATCAAATATGTCCACTTAGCTACCCATTCAAGCATAGCAACCCAATTCATTCAGTTCTATACAACAGCGTCTATATTATATACATGTTTAATTATCAATTGGAAATAAAAAATAAAAATTTACAGTGATTGAGAAAGGGTCAGACATTCAGATAGGAAAAGTAATACTGTATAATCAGAATATCCTATTAGCCTACCAGTTTCAATGACAGGGCTTTTCTTTTATTAGTTGGAATACAAAGAAGGCATAGGGGATCTCAGGAAAATAACACTATGTATCAGAAAATTCAACGTGCTCCACCATCAAGATTTCCATCACACATTTAATTTCTTCTGTACAATTTTTATAAACTTGTTTTTCTTTTCAAAATCATCAGACTTCCAGATTAAATTCAGCACTACACAGTATGCCCTTGAAGTAAAATGAGGTTACCTGCTTTATTTGGATACCAAGTTCCCTTCCAGACAGCATTAAAATAAAGACAAGAAAGACTACACAGATAAAATCCAGTATAATTCAAATCCAACAATGAAAAATTTCCCCCATATTGTTGCAAAATTCTTTCTACTGAAATGCTTTGCTACAATAATAAAAAGCATACATTACATATAAAAAGATACCAGTGTACTAAAAAGTGACAGAAGTGGACTAGCAAATCCTTCAAAGCACATTATATAAATGACTAGCATTTAAAAACATTTCTCCTATAAAATGTAGGTCATATACATTTATAAATTGGCGGTTTTATTTCTAAAGCAGTGATGTGTGTGTTCAAATAGCTGTTCTGTACAGTATAGTATCTACTCACTTCAAACTACAATAAGTTTGTCTTTGTGTTGAAGTTGAATAAATTCATCTGTTCAGCTGAGAAATCAAGCTTGAAAAATAAGTATCTAAAAACCAAAGTAGAAAGTTTAGAATTATTGAAATGTAGCTATGAAATATGAAGAGAACTATCTATTCACAATGGAGCTGAAGTCACCTCAAAACTTACGGGCTTGAATCTAAAACAGAAACAAATATTAAAATCCAAACCAAACCACAAAGTTAGGTAGCAGTACAGAAGCAGGAAAAAAACACATCCCTTCCTTCAGTGTGATGGGCACTAAGTTTTGCGGTCTTCCTCCATCTTGCAGAAGAGTGGTAAGGCCATTCAATGCTTAGTGAAATGAGTACAGACGAAGCCAGATCTAGCCTGTCTCCCCTGCAACTTCAATTATGCTGTGTAAACAGTGTTAAGTTCCAATAGGAGGAACAATGGAATTTGCTTATAAAAACTGATTAAAGATAATCATTATTAAATGAAATAAGGATAACTCTGAAATGTTTTTAGAACTTTCCTGATGCTACTTGTAAAGTTAGCACTGCTATGTATTATTGCTTACATACAGTACAACATCATATGCCTTCTAACATAAAGCAGTACTGTGATTTGTTTGTACATATTTACAGATTCTTAAAAACAAGCTGTAAAAACATTACATACTTTCAGACAATACAAATTAGCACATTGGTACTCACTTGGAACAAATGGAATGCATAACATTAATAAACATCATAAGGAAGACTCACATCAAAGTCCTTGATTGTCGAGACACGTTTATATATAAACTCTAACTGTGCAGAATTAAAGATTCAATCAGAGGTGCATCCTTACTTGATGAACCACATTTACAGCATGGTATTGCATAAAAAAATAAAATAATGTCTACAGGGTTTTACTTTTTTATCCATTGGATTAAAGAAAGCAACAAACATAATAAGAAATGTTTGTCTGCCTCAGTTTGTTTCCTACCTAAGTGAAAAAAGGAAACACGGTTTTTATTTGCAGAATATAGCAAAAACTGGAAAATTATTTCCCTGAAATAAAGCAATTTGAAACAAAAAAGGTTTAAATTAAATTGCAGACTCAAAAATTTACTTGTTGTTTATAATAGTGCTTCTTCAAGTAAATATACTGAGTTCTAGTTTAAAAGGTTCTAAAAGACTAAGAAATGTAGTACTACAGTAATGCCTACTTTTAAAGTTTCCCGGCTTTTTGTTTTTTTAAACAGCCCTTTAAAAACCCAAATTAACAAGGTGAAAGAAGTAGCAAAAGATCTAACCTTGCTGGCACTTTGCAAGTGTCTCTCATCTGTGGAAATGAAAACTTGCCCTGAACACAAGGCCTTTTTACCTCACAAGAGATAAGATGACCCAACTGCTGGCATCCTCAGCCAGAGCAAAGAAGATGGATTACTACACCTCATCAGGTAGCACATTTGCATGTAGATCCAAACAATTTAGGAGCCAAATAAAATATATGTGCAATAAGAAGTTAAAAACAAAAAAACACACACCACATTTTAGATGTTCGAGAGATGCTACCTTATCTAATGTAATCTGCTTCCAATCCTCAAACACAAAAGTAAAACCTAAGTGAAAAAGCACACCTTGCTCACATTGATCAAAAGTTTAAGGGTGTTAAGAGCATGTTTTCATAGAACAATCTGCTCACTGAGAGAAATAAGAAACATGAATTGCAAAGGATATCTTATATCCTCCATGTTTCAATCAAAAACAGCACACATGCTGCTTATTTTCTCTACTAATGCCCAGATAGAAATTAAAGTAACTTTCTGAACCAAAGTGGGGAAAACCCAAACTGCTGAGATGTTTATCATATGATGATAATACAAGGTTAAGTCTGGTAGGCATTTAGAATTTCACAGTAAGAGTGATGACTATACTTAAATGGTAAGTCAATAAGTTATGCTGGCTAAGTATCAGTTATCTCAATAATGTTTATAACCTGGTAGAAAAGACTGCCATTATGCAGATTTAAAGAAATGTGTTTAAGACAGGAATGCAACACCTGAAATTGTTTACATAACTACCATTTTCAAAGGCCTTCCTTCTTAAGCTTACCCAAACTGCTCAGCAATAGTCACATTCTTAAAACTGTGCTGGTGATGTTAAAATGAAACAAAACAAAAAACTCTATACTGTACCAAGAACTGCATCAAGTTCCTGATAGAACAAAATTTTTGATCAGGCCCAACTCAGGAAATGTCTACTCTCATCAAAAGTACTATGAGAAAAATACAAATGTCTATCTAGGGTGAGCACAGTTCCATTTTAACCCCTCACTGAATGAAGTCTTCCTGCGCTTATGTGATGCACAACCTAACACACATCAATCTCAAGATCAACAATGGCAGAACTTAAATATTTACTTCAAAGAAGTTCAAAATTCTTGAAAAATGTGACAGCAAGGAAAGCTGTCAATGGGAAAGTTAGTATTTCAAGCAAAGCTTAATAGCCAAAGTGTAGAGGAAATCACATTAAACATAATTTATATTCCTTATCATTAAAACACCAATATATTCAAAATAAATGAATATAAATGAAGGATGTTGGGGGGGATGTTTCTTTGTTCCCTTTCTTTCTGAGAACAGCCTTGGGATAACATTAAATAACAAAAAAAATAATTTAAACAGGTAACATATTCTATACTGAAACAAAGAATGCAGATCTACAGGGCCAATATAAAAGTTAAAATGGAAATTAACAAAGTTTCATCTTCCAGGGTACTAATTTTAGTTTATCATTGGTGCTGTATCAGTATGTGCATTGTGATAAATATGGCAGAAATTTAAAATACAAAAACCAAAAAGTTGGAAGAAATTAAAGACAGTAAAATTAATGTAACTAATGTTACTCTCCAAAAATCAAAATCCTCCATGTGTAACTCAAACCATCATTCATCAGGAAAGTATATATATTAAAAGCACTATTTATTGTACCATGCTGTATTATTTTAAGACAAAGTATCAAAAAAAAAAACATTCGTGGTATAAGGATAAAGTCTGTAGTTTATTTAGATTTTGAAATGCAACAAAAAAATTTCCCATTACTTATCTAGCTGTAAAAGAAATTATAGTTACTAGAATTAGTAAACACTTTTGGTTTGTAAAATTGTAATGAGCAGTATCCATTAAAAAGTAACTCAAGATAAAATAAGCAATTAAAATGCCCATTTCTTTAGTTTCTTAGGATATTGTTTAATCATCCAATCTATTAAGGATCTAGAAAGAGAAGGATTAAGCCAGATTTTACAGTTCCAAACACACCCCAATTTCCTTTTATTGCCAAAAATTATAATTGTCAATTATGAGATGATTATGACACAACCATTTCAAACCTAAAAATCTATTTTTTTTTGAGAAATCAAAAATACCAAATAGATCTAAGTGCTCTATGTTAACTGAAGTATATATGTAAAGTAAAATACAATTAAGCTTTAAAATGTGGAATATACATTTGTGTAAGCATTATGTTCTTGGGAATGTAATCTACAGAATACTTTTTACTAAAACTTCAAAACCTTGATACTTGCACATGAAAAATCATAAAAAATATCTAGGTACAACTGTACAAAGAAACTGACACCAATATGCATACTTCCATAGAGAAGTGAATGCTTCCAACAGTTGTGTGTTTTGGTAAAAGTTTTGAAAGTATGCATATTTTAAAAGTAATTAGGCTTTTAAATAGTGGAGTCTTAGACTATCAATTTTTTATTACTTTTTTTTTCAAAAAAAAAAAACCCACATCAATATAATGCAAAATGAAAATCAAGGGTATATGGCATATTACTCTGTTTAAAAGGTGGTTTCTTGGTTTTTTTCCCCCATATAGAACAAACTAATTTATTTAAGCCATAATCTCTTGACATTTAAACTTTTAAGTTCACTCTGTCTGTGAAGTATACTCAGATTCCCTGCTGAAGTGCAATGACTATGCTGAAAAACTTAGAAACAGTATGAATAAATTTCACACAATTACTATCTCCTAAGAATGTACAATGTTATCAATTAGGAAACAATTGTGCGAAAGTCTTTTTTTTAACCTTTTTAACTTGGTGTAGGTGGAATAGCAAGTTTCTGATCTAAAACAAGTAATGCATTGCTTCTATAAAGGTGACAACATGTAAGGCAGTTCAAAGAATGCTGACTAACCAAACAAAATGCAGTTATTGGATTATCTTGCTATTCATATCAGCTTAACTTGTTATAACGCATTGCTCTTAAATCTGTACAGCACTCCATTTTACACAGAGTAACCCCATTCTTGATTAATCTGTTCTAAAGTGCCAGTATTATTTACACTTTTTTTTTTAGCCAAAAGTCTGGCCAGTTGTGGCATCTGGTGAAGATGTCATCCCAGCTCTATTATCATTTACATTCACCAAGGGAAATTCTGAAAATTCAGCACTTGTCCCTGGTCCCCGAAGGTTCACCTGTCCATTGGCAGTGCTAAATTGAGTAGCTATTCCAGCTCTGGATCCATGATAAGGAGCACGGAAGGGCTGTTCAAAGGAGCTCATTTGGTAGGCTTGATGGACAGGCTGAGCCTCAGCTTTCTTCTGAGAAGTCACTTGATCCAAAAAGTCCTGTGTTGATGTGGCAGAAGCATGGTTTGTCTCATCACCTGAAAAGGGAAATGAGTGCTGTGAATCACCAACTATTAGTCCAAAGTGGGACTTATCTGGAGTTGTTCTTAGTGGAGAATTCATTCCTGATCGAAAGCTATTGATGGGCATGGCTGCGTAGACTTGCTTGTCTATGGAAGAAAATGCTGGCTGATTTGGAAGGGTCTGGTTATCAGTCACAAAGTTAAGGCTCGGGCTATTCAAATAGGCATCATTTTGGCTAGTTCTGTCCAAAGCCTGCTGCAGAAACTTTGAGTATTCCTGCAACATGTTGGCTTTATCTGATGAGGATGCTTGGGAGCTTGATCCAACATTCTCTGACTGGGTGACCTCAGGTACTTCTGAAGAGTTTATTGATATGCTGGAAGTCACTTCAGTATCTGCAACACTGAAGGAAATCTCATGCTGCCCGTTAGCTTTATGGGAATAATGATCCAACAGAGTCTGCAGTACCTCATCCGGAATAACATTTTTGTCATGATTACTCTTAATCTCCACGTTCAGTGCCTGTGAATCTAATATGGATGCTGTGGTGCTTTCATCAATGACACTTGCCACAGCTGCTTGTGTTACAGAAGGCTGAGAAGCTATAGTACCCACGTTCAGAGCATACTCCCTGCTATTGTTACTTGCTGCTTGGAGATAGCGCTTCTTCTTCAAAAACTGCATGGCATCATCATAATTAGTGCTACTATGCACAGGTTTGCTGGGCCCCTCTTGCAAGTTATCAACCTGATCTATGTCAGCATTGCCTTCTGAGTCCAGTAAAGCTTGTTTATCCACAAGTTCAAATGCATACTTTGAAACTTTGCTCTCTTCATATGTGGATAAAGGTGAAATTGTTTGACTTTGCTCCAGCGGCTGTTTCAGACTTCTCTTACTATTAATTTTTTTGAGAACCAACTTTGGTGGATGTATTTCTCCTGATGCATCTTCTAAATGTGATCCTCCAACTGAAGAATGGGGCATTTCAACAGCATATTCTGCTACCATATACTCATCTTTTACTTTAGTACTTGAAGAATAAAGAGGCAAGTAATCACTTTTGTCTTTCTTCAAATCAGATTTGTCCAAAACACTCTCTTTGTCCATTCCAGATGATTTCTTCTCAGTTTTCTGCCTTTTCTTTTTTGGCAGTGAGTTATCTTTTGGTGATGTAGAAAAGCCAGAGTCTTCTTCAGATGTCAGAAGGCCACCTTTGATGGCACATCTGTTTAGTTTTTTGTCATGATTTTCATGGCACATTCGTTTATGTTTCAATACACGATCCGTTCTGGAAAAATACTGTCGAAATCAGAGGTTGGAAGTAGGTTTTTTTGGTTTTGTTTGTTTTTGTCAACAAAGAAAAGAAGAAACAAAACAATTTAAGTATAATAATATAAATAATTCCAAACTAATTCCCCAAGCCAATTTTTCTATTATAAATCTAGTCAATAGTTTAAAATCTTCTCAAATAGTTTTACTAGTAAATAACATCTTCTAACTTACTAGAATTATTTCTTAGTATGACTATCACAGAATTACTTGAAACCACCTCTCTTACCTGTAAACAGTATTCACACTGGTAAGGTTTTTCTCCACTATGAGTTCTCTTATGCCTTTCCATATGATATTTTTGTATGAATCTCATGCCACATTCATCACAGCGAAATGGTTTTTCACCTAGTACATGATACAAAAAGTTTAAAACAAATATTGTAAAATAATGAATTACTTTGCCATAAGAATCTCTAAAATAAATGGCTTTTAACAATTATAATAATTTGCTCTTTTTAAAAAAAAAAAAATCTTCCTATACTAAAGGGAATGCCCAGTTTTCCTTCGTTTGTCATGTACACACATCACAGGCTCTTTCCATGGAGACCAGCAGTACCGGGCATCTACAATAATACAGACATTCTTCTGTAGAGTTACTGGCATTTCTTATCTTCTTTATTTTTTTCAATCATATAACAATATTTTAATTTTAAAAGAAATTTAAATTCTTTTAAATGTAAAAGAATTTTAAAAGAAATCTTATTTATTAAGACCGTAGAGACTTAAACTTCAAAAGTAAGGTTTGTTTATATAGACTCTTTTTCTTTCAAACTAGCATTTCTCATGTCATCCAGGGAATGAATCAAACTGAGAACTGTTAATTGGACACACAACTGTCCTTACCACCCTTTCCCCCCCACCACACACACACTTTTTGGTGGCACTGAGGTTCAAACTCAGGGCCTCACACTTGCTAGGCAGGCCCTCTCATCTCTTGAGCCACTCCACCAGCCACCACCCCCATTTTTGTTTAAAATCCCCTAAGGACTTCTTAGCTATAAGGAATCATTACTATGGAGCTAAATAGGTTCTATCAAAGGGGGGACGGGGGAGACCCACTCTAAGTAAACACAGGGTATGACAGTTATTGTTACCTTAAATGATACTTGCTTGGAAAACTACTATTTCTACGTACCATACATTCAAAAAATTTTACTGAATACTGTTCCTCTACGATAGTCCCCTGTAGGAGGTTCAAAGTATAAAATACACTAACTGGCCTCAAAGAATTTACAGCATAATTGGGAAAACAAGACACGCTTATTATAAAATGACATCTCACAAAACCATATCTAGCTCTGGTTTATATTGGCAACTTTATACCCACTACTTCCCTTTGTAACTTTTTCCTTCAGCCAAACCAAAACTACCTGCCATCTCATATTTTTCTACTTTTGCCTTGATTTGTGTTCTCCTTCAGTCAGGAATGCCCACCTCTGAATGCTCAGACACCACATCCCCTTTGAGACCCAACCAAAATCTTAGGATACTTTACCCTCTTCTTGGGATTTCCACAGATCTCCATCCATGCCTCTCCTGTGGCACTCACTACATTCAACTCAATAATTATTTTCATATATTTTTGTTCTTTACTAGATTACATTTCCTTAAGTAAGAACCTAGACCTAAATCGTATTGATACACCTCAAAGTACCTTGAGCAATTTAAGTGCCTAATGAATGGCATTTAAGATTATTGTTACAGTGAATTATCACTGGGAAAAATGTTACTATGAATGAACTAGTATGCTTTGGAAAAGCTGAGAAGTGTTAGAATCTTTTTTTACTCTTTATTGTTGTGCTGAGTGGGGATACACTGTGGCATTTATGAAGGTTCTTACAATGTATCAAATATATCATACTTGAATTAACCCCCTCCACCCTCCCTATCCCCATTCCTAGAACAGTTTCAACAGGTATCATTTTCGCATTTACATACACATATACACATTCTTTGCACTGTATTCAGCCTCCTACCCCACCACCTCCCCCTCCCAACTGGTACCAACTGCACCTCCCCCCAATGAAGTGTTAGAATCTAAGCTGAGTAATACTTGAAAGTTAAAGACCAAGGAAAGAAAATCTGGGGAAGAATAACGTAACAACTAAGTGTTTAAATACAGAAGTGGTGTCCAAGATGAGATTTTAACTTGGTAACAATAAAGTTATTTAAAACTTTCCAGCCAGGTGCGGTGGCTCCCACATATAATCCTAGCTACTTAGGAGGAGGATCCAGAAGATCACAGTTCCGGGCCACGCCAGCCCAAGGTGGGGGAGAGGGTGGGGGCACATAAAAAGCTGGGCATGGTGGCACATGCCTGTCATCCCAGCTACCGAGTAAAAACTAGACCCTGTTCCAAAAATAACTAAAAAAAGGGCTGGGGCCATGGCTTAAGTAGTAGGGAGCCCAATTAGCAAGTGCAAGGCCCTGAGTTCAAACTCCAGTAATGCCAAAACAAACAAGCTTTCAAGAATGTAACTTCTGTAAATGCTACAGAGTTACCAAACTTTAAGGCAGATGGTATTTTCCAATGCTCTTGGGGGTTCCACAGAGATCCCCAAGCACTGCTGCTGGTACACCAATAGGTTCAAAGCTTGTCGAACAAAATTCAGTTCATAATAGCTTACTTTTACATACTGGGGCTCCGATCAAGGGTATTAAGACAGCTTAACACAAATGAATAGACACTGCTTTACTTATTTTACAGAAAAGAATTACTAAAGTCCAGAAAAGTTAAGGCTTGGTCAATAAATAATTAATGATGCAACTGAATTGGGAGAGAAGATCACTCATTTATTAAGGAAGTTTGGAAGTGAAAGAAAGGAGAAAAGCAGATGGGAAACAATAGGAAGCAAACAATCTAAAAGTAAATATTATTAAGGATGGGGAGACCAAATTGTCTGAATGCAATGGGACCAGTGGAGAAGAAAAATATAGTATGAATACTGAACTAAAATTGAAATGGAATCATTATAGTGAATAATCAAAGGATTAACATCCCAGAGGGAAAGAAAGTGCAGACAATGTTGAAAAGGAAAAGTAAGAACAGGTGCACATTTTAAATACAGAATGCAGATAAAGGCCACAAGTCAAAGCTATTTCAACAGGAGTATTTACTCCCATTTCCCAGGGAGCAGGAAATGCTTCTTTTTTCCCCATTTCTCCCTACTTTTACACTGTTATACTAAGTTTCTTTCCTAATAAACTTTACTATTACTTTTACTACATTTTTGTATCTTGACTGAATTCTTCTCTCCCCAGATGCTTTCCAGTAACATTTTTGGTGCCATAATTCAGGCCCCAAATCTAATACCTCTTTTTTGTGCTGGATGGGGGTACACTGTAGCATTTTACAAGGTTCTTTTTATCAAATATATCATAATTCACCCCCTCTACCATTCTCCTTTATCATCCCCTCCACACACACAATCTATTATCTCTTGACTTGGACTTGAATGCAATACATCTGTTTCTGCAAGACGTAAGAATCATCCTCCCTGCTTCTCTCTGGGTTGAGGATATGCCTATTCTCTCTGCTCTGCAAGTGCTTTTCTATTTAGATTCTGATTGCTTTCTCTTCCTCACCCAAAGTTATCTTTGGGCAGTTTAGGGTTTCTTCCAGGTGCTACTTCTGCCATTGCTACCAGGTTACAAAGTGCCAGCTGCTTCCTTTTCCTATCAGGTGCTCTGGCCTACTTTTTCTGTCCTTCAGACATTACTTTCCCATTATGGATCCCATCCTCTATCTGTTCCTATTCTTTCAATCTTTTGGATGGGACTGGGCTTCTCCCTTTTAGACCACTATCTCAGAGAAAAGCTTATTCCAAGTATGGTCTTCTACCATTATTAAGACATTTCCTTTGTTCTTAAGCTACTGCCCATTCTTTTCAATCTTTGTGCTGCCTAGAATGGCCTAGGCTGTAAGAAATAGGTAAAGCAGGACTGTTCCACAAGACAGATCAAGAGCTTGATGGAGTCAACACTGGGGAAGGGCGGGCCATTCACAGGTTAAGGGCAACTGCATCTGCTGACCTGATCCTCCCAGGCATGACAGCAAGATAGCTGGCCACAAGCTTGTGGTTCACAAGTTCAGGAGATGCTCTGAACTTTCCTTGTCTTTTCAGATGGGTAACAACCCATCTATGACCTGCACGCTATTCGAGTGCATTCTGAAAAAGTGGGATTCTTTTGACCCTCAGACCCTGAAGACTGACTCCTTTGAGAGGCTCGATTTAAAAATAAACACATACACTGAAAGGAAAATGAGGTACCACTTGGATGAAATTAGGCATGCTATTCTAATTTCCTGGTCACCAGAAGGATGCTTCAAAAGTGACCCCACAGGTTCACCTAGTTCATGGGCCAGGAGAATGTTCCTCCCATTGCCTAGGCTCAAAGGTTCATTTTAGGCTCAAGGTTTAAGGATGCCCCAGCAAGGACACCCTGCCTGAATGGCCACATTGGGTCTCTTCCTTTCTTCCAGGTGGGGAATATGTTTTCTATTCCTGCAGACTCATTCTTTGGAATGTGGCATGGCCAACTTACAACAGACTGCCAGATCAAGAAGTCTGATCTCTTACATGATCTTTTCTGACATAATTTCTCTAAATGGTCCGAGGTTCCCTATGTCAAGCCTTCAGGATCCTCTCAGAAGATCAGGACCTGCAGGAAGAATGCCAGATGTGTCCAGATTTCCCAGATAGATGATCCTAGCTCTTGCCTCTTCCACTCTGCTACCCTATACAGTGCCTTAGTCTTCCTTCTCCTTTCTAGCACTGTCCACATGGTGTGGTTTATTCCATCTACCTTACAGGCCTAGTTTGTCTGTTATTAGCCAGAAAGTGGCTCATAAGCTGTTTCTATGTACTTTCTCTGCTTTAAAACTCCATGAAGGTCTAATGGATCCTCTTCTGACTCTGTGATATGTTTCCTGAGGAAGTAAAGCCTTTTCCTTGTCTTCTTGGCTTTGTGGTCAGCTCTCTGCTCTGAGGGAAAGTCTTTTGCTTTCCTCATTTTTTTACCCCCTTTTTGTGTTGCTGGTTAAAGTCCAGGTGATTCACAAGTCTTTCATTTGTCTTACCTCACTCCCCTGGCTATTCCTCTAGTTTGGGAAAGCCTCTTAAATTGCTTTCACCCCTTTGGCCTCTAGCGGCCTGAATAAAAATAAAAAGGAAATTTCCCTTTTGTTTGTTTTGGGTGTGTAGTGTGAACATTTAAGGTCTACGCTACAGGGTTCAAGTATACAATATATTTATTCCAACTTTAGTTACTGTGCTGTGTGTTAGAGCAAAAGTAGAGAAGAAAATAAAGATCTCTCATGTACCTGTCACCCAGCTTCCATAATT